GGTGATGAATTGGTCCAGAAATAGATATTTAACCTAGCGGTATTTTACATGGGCGCTTGGATATTTGGCCATAGGGGTGGCCGCTCAAATGTATCTTGATTTTTGTATGTGACTCTTATCCGTATATAATATCCGGAGGCAGTTGGGACCTTTAACCTCCCACTCCAGTGATAAAACGTATGAAATTGGTATTTAACGTATCTGGATTTTGGGTTTAACTACATTAATTGCACGTTAAATAATAAAACCTCCACTCTTCAATTTGGCCAGTTGGAAGTTTTTAGATGAAGTGCACCATAACTGTAAGAAACGATGCTCTACCACTGAGCTATTTTCCCTCCCCTGGACAAAATATTAAGGGTGCATTCGGCCCCAAAATGGTGTTTTGGGCCAAAGTTAACTGTAAATATTGCAATATTTCTGGTTCCTGTTATTTGACTATAATTAAAAACTTGACGCTGAAAAATGCAAGTCAAGAATACATAATGATAGACTTATTATATACTTACAGTACATATATAGCACCAATATGGTTTCGTCGACTTATTATTATATAACTACCGGTAGTATTAATAGTAGTATAGTATACTAAGTAGTCCATACATTTATAGCACCGGTAGGGTTTCGTCGAGGTGAAGATTCTATCACCCAGAACTTCAAGTTTAACGTTAGTGGTTCTTTACTGTTAATCAGAAATGGTGAATTTTTATTCTGTTAGTCCAGGTGATATAATCTCTCACCTGGGATAAGCCAATCAAACGCCAGTATCGTGGACTCTGATTGGTGAATCGCTTGTTTACAGTTTGTTATCCAAAGTCGAATATGTATTACAGTAATACTTAGTATTGATATACGTATACCGGGTATTGCGAGGACTGAACAATAAATAATTGCCCGATATTGTATTTCAACTATTAGTAGAACGTTACCTAAATACTACGTAGTACTAGTATATTTTTGAATGACAAAATGGACAACCGGACTTCGTGGGTCTTGAATTCACGTCAGCTTCATGTAAAGTGCATGTATCCCAACGTATGGCTTATTCCACGCGAACAACGTTAAACTCTATAAACACATGAACTCGATGGAATCGAGTCAAATAGTATATATAACGTGGCATAGTACTAATTGTTACAGTTTAACGTTGAACGTAATAATCGGCCAACGTTACAATTGGCGAAACATGCGGACTACGAAGTATACAAACGACAAGTGTAGTGGACGTGGGATATTTTTAAAAGCAGCCATTACCTATTTACTGTGTGTAAAATATAAATCGACCAAGGCGGCAAGGTCCATTTTGGAGTCGCAGAACCATTAGGAACGACGACCACTTTGAGCCTTCGTCGTCCAGCCCTGTATCAAGGTCGCAACCACACCCCATCCTTGCGATGATGGATTCAGGAGGTGGAGTTGAATGTCTGCGCACGACGCCGTCTCATCAAGACACGACGTCGTCCATGGACTATGATCTCGACTTGGAAATCGAAGGAACAAACTTCGCGGATCCGCGGATACGCGCCAAGACAGACGATTCCACGATGTCCCACACGTCTCACTTGACAGGCAACAACAACATGGACACTCCCTCTCGAAGCTTCATTCTCCACATCGACGACGTCCGCGTGATGCGGAAGCGGCAACTGATCCCATCGTGTCTTTTTTGTGGCCGCGTCAAGGTGGACAAGCTGCCGGAATGGACGATCCAGTTCAGTCAGAAAGAGTTGCTTCGACTGCACATTTGCGTGAACTGGTACCTACTGTGCCACTTGCACAGACCCGTGTGGATGCCGTGGTCGCTCATTCTCGAGAAGCGCGCATCCAAGCGGTGTCAGGACAAGGACCTCGTTGAGACGTACCTGCGCACGTTGGTCTTGGTCCCCAAACTGCATGAATGCGAGGCCCTTTTAAGTTTCCTCGAGGTGAGCGCGTCCCGCCTCGCGTCCAACCTGCGCACACTGTCGCACAAGGAGGGTTACGTGCACATGAAGATCAGCGGGTCGAACCAGATCCCGCTCCAAAAGTTCTGCAGCCACCGCATGGAAAAGGTATATCGGCACTCGTACCGCATATTCCTCCGCATCGCGTTCGTCGCGAGCATGCTCTTGCTCATGTGGCCATTCCTGATCTTGGCCGTCATGGCCGTGGCCAACCCGAGCTTTGTCAACGAAGTGGTGCAGTCGGGCCGCATCATCACGGGCAAGAACTCGTCCGACTCGCTCGCCGCCATCATATTTGCGATCTGCGTGTTGTTTGTGCTCGGGTTCATCTACAAGTTCTTTGAGCGCCGCCTCGGAACGGTCCGGCGGTGGGCCGCGCTCAAGTCCAACTGCATCGCGTTCTACAAGCACCGCTGCGACGTCGAGCCGAGCGAGGTCGTGCTCTTTGACACGCAGTTCCAAGTCGCCCAGGGCAACTACAAGCAGGGCGTGTCGTGGATGGTCAACGGACTCACGGTGCGCAACAAGGGCGGGTACGTTGAGATCGACTGCGGCCACTACTACACGCGACTCCTGTCGGTGCTCGCGCTGTCGCTGTCGTTCTTCATCGTCGTGAGCATCACCGCCAGCGGACTACACTACAAACCCGTACCCCTGCACTTGTTTCCGTTGGCAACCGCCATGAGTGACGACACGAACAAAAGCTTCCCCCTCTTACGCCTCAACCAAGCCAACAACAAAGAAGGTTATGATGACGACGAAAGGAACCACCCAGCGTTTTGCGGGTTTGCATTCGACCAGCCGATCAAGCCGGCGCTGTTTAAGCGGCGCGCCGACGGACTCCACATCATGACGTTAGCGCGCAATTCCAACGCCACGTTTGCCAAGGCGGCGGAATACATTGACAACAGCGGTACGTTCGTGTCAGTCACACTAATTACATGTTTGCGAGGCTTGTCAGCTGCCACACACTAATTTGCTTTGTTTTGCGATGCCTGCGCATGACGTTGGCTCTATGTATGTATGATGTAGGGTTTGACATTCTCACCACGCGCATGTTCAACGAGTACTTTGCCAAGCAGGCCAACCAACTGATCGCAGTCGTCGGCCGCGTGACCGACGCCCCCGTGCTTCGCGTCCCCGGGCGTCTCATGCTGCCCGACTTTGACAAGTCCACGCGGTTCTTTGGGATCTCGGGGCGCTTCGACCGCCTCGGCGACAAGCTCGTCGTCAACGACAACGCGACCATCGACGCTAGCGCTGTCCTGTGCGACTTTGCCGTGGACGTGTCTTCCGTACGTTCTTCTTTAGAGATTTCGTGTGGTTAATAACTGCTAGGTAACTTTGACCAATTTTACCATCATGCTGGGGGCGCTCCTTGCGGGCAGTTTGGTTGCGTCGTCATTGGGGCTGCTGGCCAACTACTTGCTGTCGTTTGTGGGGCTGTGGCACGCGCACGTGCGGCGGGACGAGTGGCTCGACGCCCTCCACGAGGTCCCCCCCCAGCCCCCTCGCCATCGATTCCTCTCGTTTGCGCCCAAGCGGGACCAAGGTACGTCAACATCTCTACTTATCCCAGAGATTCCATATATATATATTGATTTGTATGCGTAGCATGGCTCAAGTGGCACGTGGACGGCGAGGACACGTACACCGCGATGCGCGAGGCGATTCTAGGGGCCAAACATCGCATTTTCATTGCGGGGTGGTGGATCTGTCCGGATTTGCTGCTGGAGCGTCAGGACGCGGCGAGTCGCATCCCCCTGAAGGAGCTGTTGTTGGCCAAAGCCCAGGAAGGCGTGGTGATTCACGTGCTGCTGTACCAGGAGGTGCAGGTGGCGATGGATCTCGGGTCTTACTACGCGATGAAGCAGCTGCGGTGCCACCCAAACATCCGCGTGCTGCGGGACCCGGACTTCCAGGTGCAGTCGTTTGGGTTCTGGAGTCACCATGAAAAGGTGATCGTCGTGGACTTCGACGTGGCGTTCGTGGGCGGACTGGACCTCGCGTTAGGCCGGTTCGACACGTCCGAGCACCTCTTGTCAGACCCGGGCATCGACGGCGCGACCCACTGGTGGCCAGGCAAGGACTACTCGAACCCGATCATCAAAGACTTTGTTCGGGTAAACGACGCCCGCGAGAACCTCATTGACCGCGACCACGTCCCGCGCATGCCGTGGCACGACGTCCACTGCTCGATGCTCGGCCCCGTCGTCCAAGATGTGGCCGCGCACTTTATCGAGCGGTGGAACTTTGTCTGCTCCAAGCGGGACAACTCGCTGCGCACAGACTGGTGCGTGTGCTGTCGCTCGAGGCGGTTCAAGTACTTGCCCAAGAGCATCCTGCCGTGGATGCCCGACCCCACGACCCCACCTGCTGCGACACTGTTGGCCGACGGAGGATACTCGCCGTGCTCTGTCCAAGTCGTTCGGTCCGTGTCGTCGTGGTCGGCGGGGGTCCCCACCGAGTCGAGCATCCACACGGCGTACTGCGACTGCATTCGCGCCGCCAAGCACTTTGTGTACATTGAGAACCAGTTCTTCATCTCTGGCTTGGAGACAGACGTGGTGATTCTGAACCGCGTGGTGCAGGCGTTGGTGGACCGCATCGTCGTGGCCGTGGCTCAGGGCCAAGTGTTTCGCGTGGTCGTATTCATGCCGCTGCTGCCGGGGATCGAAGGCAACGTCCGGTCCAAGCAGTCGCTCACGCACTTGCACGCTGTTATGCACTGGCAGTACGCGACCATCCGCACCAACCTCATGGGCGCGCTCGCCAAAGTCACGACCCGCCCGGACGAGTACGTCCTCTTTGTGGGTCTGCGTACGTACGGCGTCATGCCCAACGGCCGATGCGTCACAGAGCAGATCTACATCCACTCCAAGCTGTGCATCGTCGACGACACTACCGTCATCTGCGGCTCGGCCAACATCAACGACCGCAGCATGAACGGCGACCGCGACTCGGAAATCGCTGTCGTCGTCGACGACTCCACGGTAAGTCAACATGTGGATTTGACATGGGTAACAATGGGGGTATACATACTTGGGTTGTGACAATATGTGGTAGGAATATTTACAATATGTGGATCGGATGGCTTTTGTGGTGACAATATGCGGTATTCATATTGTGTGGTGACAATATGTGGGATGACTATTTTTGTTATGTGACAATATTGTGCTTTCGAGTGAAATTTCATTGTGTTGTGGCGTGGGGTTTCTCGTTGGAATTTAAATCGATTTGATTGGCTACTTCAGAAGAGCTCAAAATTATTAGCCAATCAAAACCCATTTCTCAATGAAATTCAACCAATCAGATCGATTGTGGATCGGTTTGGTCGGCGCGATTGATTCGATTGCACCCCCTCCCCAAATTTGTATCAAATCGACCATATGTGGTATGAGTTCTTGTGTGGTGACAATATGTGAATCGGATAGCTTGAGTGAGTTGTACCAAATGTGTGGATGTCGATAATATATATGTGGTGGTGGGTATAACAATGTTTGTGCTTTGTGTGTGTTGGGTCGAATGAGTATAAATCCTTGTGTAGTTTACACTGGGCACGATCAACGGCCGCCCGGCCAACCAAGGGACCCTCGCGACCCGCCTCCGCTTGCAGCTGTTTCAGGAGCATTTGGGTCTGGACGACGTGTCGGTCGTGGCCGACCCCACGAGTGACGCCACGTGGCAGTTTCTGCGACATCGCGCGCAGGCCAACACGGACTTGTTCGAGCAAGTGTTTCGGTGTGCGCCGTCCAACAAGTTCCGGTCCTTTGACTGCTTCGACTCGCAGTGGCACCAGCTCGACGCGATCTACGAGAACCAGCGCTTGAATCCGCTCAGAGCGCTGGCGGCGTGGGGCGCCGACAATCTGCTCGCGGAAGGCGACTACGCGGCGTGGACGGACGTGAACGGGATCCCCATCCCCATGGAAAAAGTGCATCGGGACGACTACGTGGTCGTGCCGGACCCGCTCTTCCCCCTCTTGTCGTCGGATGACCAGGGGTGGTACTACGCGCGCAACTTCAAGATCTTCCAGGACATGCGCGTACACCGGGGCACGACGCCCCGCGTCCGCAAGCGCGACAAGTTCCAGCACTTCATGGCGGACCGCCTCCTGGCCCAAGTTCGCCGACGCAAGTACGTGAAACTCAGCAGTCTGCCCGTGCTCAACGGATCGTTCATCGACACGGTCCCTGTGTTGCGGGACCACGACGACAAGGACTCGTTCTATGCTAAGTGGCGCCAGTGGGGCAGCAAGAAGAAGCTCAAGCCCCCCCCTCCCCCCGCCTCGTTGAGGTCCTCAACCGAGTACCATGAACTGTACGACGCACGCAGCAGTCATCCCCGGGGTATCCTGTTGCCACAGCTGCCGCTCCACCAGCTGCTGCCACCAACCACGAGCAGTCGAAGGCGGCCCCACCTCCCGTCCCGCTACAGCGACAGCGAACTCGACTACCCCCCTCATCCCCGCCCCGTCTTGCGCCTTAGCGAGTCGGACGTGACGCCGTCTAACACCCCGCCACACAATACCACCGACTCGCTTGCGAAGGAACCGTCGCGATCGTGGCTGGCGTCCATCCAGTCGCTCGAGATGAACTTGCCCCCGATATTTCTTCGATCCAAGCTGCACCACGATCGAGACGACAACAGCAGCAGCAGCAGCAGCAGCAGCAACGAATATGGCGACGAAGTGCTGTCGCCGTCCCCGTCCATCGCCGCCAGCAGTCCCAGTGAGGCGCAGCTCGGCAACGTCCACACGAACGCAGAGACCCAGGAAGTGTCGGCGCACGCGACGCTACGGGCGATCCAAGGCCACGTCGTCATGTTCCCGCTCGAGTTCCTCGTCGAGGAGACCCTCAAGCCGTCGATTTTACCACGCTCGTTGCACATTTAACTTATAAAGTCCGTCGTATAACTACAATAATATAGGTAGAAGGATTGTATTATAACGTTAGATGTCAAGGGCAAGCTTGTTATTCGAGGTACTTAGTAGTATAATACTAGTAGGCGATACTGTACCACCAATTGCTATATTATAACATATATTGCTTAATATTACAACATATACAGTATTGCTTAATATTATAACATATATTGCTTAATATTATCACATATATTGCTATATTATCACATATATTGCTATATTATAACATATTTTGCTATATTATAACAAATACAACCGGACTACTACTCGGCAATACCATAACTACATGCCAAAACCCTTCGGCTATGTAGCCATTAAACGATCATGCTATCGTAGCCACGACCGCGGCACAAATGCCAAGGATCGCTTCACAATACGAAAGCCACTGGGCGCCATCCGTTGCAAGAGGTGGCAGCTGCAGTAATTTCGGCACCTCTGGATGGTTGAACGAAGTTAGGAACTCGATTGCGTCGAGGACGTCTGCATGCATGGCAGCAGTGGGGGTCGTGGCCTGCTTGTAGGATTCCAAGAGAGATATGACCCAGCCCAGCTGTTCCTTGGTCGTGGCTGGCGTCGTTGTATCCACTGGTGGCGCCAAGCGCTTGAGCAGGTCGCGGTTGCTCATGTAGTTGGGCGACCCAATGTCGGCCGACAAGCCCTGTTCCGCGCGGAAGGCGGCGAGGCGGCGCTGAAGCATGCGCAGCGACGGAAGGATCATGTGGCCGCTCCACGAAGATGGACTCCGCTTGTCTCCGACCGACGACGCATTCGCTTCCCCGCTGAGCAACTTGTACGCCCGCCGGCCATACGACATGTACACACTCTCGCACCAGCGCACAATCCTCGGCGGAAACGTCGTGCGCGCGCGGCCAGGGAAGGCCGACGAAGAAGATGACGCGAAGAACTGCAGCTGGGTGACGAGCAGGTCGTAGACGAACATGCCTGGCTTGAGGTTGCCGCGCAGGGCCTTCGCGCACAACTCGAGCACGTCGTGCGGAGGGTTCGTGCACAAGTACATGCGGTAGTCCCGAAGGATTCGCCGCTCGCAGAGGTTTCGAGGAAGCTTAGTCGTCGCCCGCGCGAGCTCTTTCTTTGTCGCTGCAACCTGCTGCTTGAGTCGTCGAATGTCCAACGGGCTCACGGGGCGTTGACGCTGGGCATCCTGGAGCTCCTCGTGCAGCCGTGCGGTGGTCTGTCGCTCTATCGCAAGCTGGGACTTCAGCAGCGCATTTTCCACTCGAAGGCGGGCCAGTTCTTCGCTGGCACTCGCCGCCGGTGCCAACGGTGGTGGCTTGGATGACATCATGCGGTTCGGTCAAATTCACAGTCAAATAAGGCGACGTGAATTAAGTTGGAGTATGTAAACGTGATCAAAGGTTGATGGGCCAAACTGCATGTGCTCGCGTCTCCATGCGTGGAACCTTGTCCAAGGGTACAGTATTCGCCATGCATTCACCTTCAGTCATACTCACACGTTCATGGGAGTTCAACAGCATTGCGTGCATCTTGATGACGGCAATTTTTTGTCGTCAGATGGTGGCTGGATTAATTTCGCATCCTTCCTAAAAATATGAATATTTGTATGGTCCAAGAGCCATGCGAGCCAAACAATTTTTCAAAATATATCTATTGGGAGAAACGTGTTTTTCCCATTGGCATCGAAATGAGTGTCTTGTAGTGGTGCCATAAGCTTAAAATGACAGTCCAGCCATAGGAAGGTGCCATGTTTACATCCGAGATATGAGCATCAAGTAATCCTCATCGTGACGCTAGCCCTACTTTGCAGAGCGATGGCTGGAGTGCAGTCTGTATGTAGGTGTCTCACAATAGGCCCTTCTTGGGTCGTTGGGAAATTGGGAAATTCACTCATTTTGCGACAGTTTTCCGACATGAAAAAGTTTTGATTATCCGGATAAGTCCATGGGTGTTCCTTGGATTAGCTATCACATTGCGTCATTTGAGCGAGAAGGGCTGTCCTCATGAAGCGACCTCCCGCGACACCAAAACGGCCGATGCAGGAGGACACCAACGCTTCGGATGAGGAGGCGTCTGTGGAAGCGTCACAAGAAGACACCTTCGGAAATGAGGATGAGTCTCCCAAAGACGAAGAATGCGAGATGTTGACAAGAGAGGAACTCGACGCCATGATGGACGACGACGAAGGCGAAGCGACGACAAAACCCTCTGCAACTTTGTCACGTGGATTGATCCACCGGATGCGTTCACGTAGCGCTGGGCAGTTGCTGCTCCCACGGCGCTCCCGCAGCTTGTACTCGCGGAGCTCCAGTTCCACAGCCGATTACTCGTCCCACCTTCGCGCCCTTTCCAACGACCCCAAAAAAGCCGCGCCGTCTCCTACGTTACCACCGAGAAAAGATCGATCGTTGGGAAAGAAAGGCATCCGAAAGATGTCGAGCCGATGGGACGATGTGCGCACCCAAGTCAAGGGCAACCCCGTCGGTGGTCGAGACCCCCTGGTTGTGAACGACGGGGAAGACACTCTTGCGACAGTAGCGGCCGAACCAGCACCCGTCCCGTCTCCCATATCGTCCAAGACGATGGCAGACGTGGCGAAACAGGTCATCTACTCGAAGCGCGCGTCGTCCCATTTGAAACTGAACGTGAACGTCACGCCTGGCCATGCCGCGATCAACGGGCTGTACTTGGAAAAGAAGAAGTTGGATCTGCGCATCTTAAGCGCCCAGTTCAAAGAGGTCAAGCGGTCCGAGTTTTACGAAGAGCTGGTCGTGTACTGCCTGTTTTTGCTGCTGTTTTTCCAGCTCTTGTCTGGCCTGCCGTTCCACGGGTCATTCCAACAGAGCGACGTCACCGTCGACTTGACATGCTCCGTGCCCGACGCGTGCTCGATCCAGTCCCCCGACGATATTTACACGTTTGCCGCGCATTTGAAGGGCCGAATATGCTCCGACTCGACCCATCCCAAGGCGCCGTCATTCCAGCCATGGACGCGCGTCGGCGGCCTCTTCATGCGTCAGATCCGCGTGCGCGCCGAGCCGTGTCAATTCGCCTTCATCTTTGGCGACACCGATGACCCTCCCACGACTGACTGCTTTCCCGCGCTGTCGGGCGACAACCAGGACACGGCGCCGATCGTCGGGCGGTCGCGCAACTACTCGTGGTCCGACGATCTGGCGCCGTGGATCCCAGGGCACAACTCGTGGTACGCAAGCCACACCAAGAGCTTCGGCACGGGCGGGTACGTGCTCGATCTGTGCGACACGGACGACGACCTGGTCGCAGACGCGTGGATGGACGTGGCCACCCGCGCCGTGTCGCTCGAGTTTGTGGTCGTGAACCCGTCGACGCACGTGTTTACGGTGGCCTCGCACGAGTTTATGATCCATCCGTCGGGCCACATGAAGTACTTTGGCCAGAGCGCCAACCTCCGCGTGATGGGCGTCGAAGGAACGTCATCCTCATCCAACAATAGCAGCATGTGGTGGGCCCTAGACGTCCGCGTGCACCTGTGGCTAGGCGTGTGTGCATTTGTCCTCACGTACTTTCGCAGCGAACTGGCCGAAGTCCACAAAATGGGTCTCACGTCATACTTGACGCTGCACGGGTGGAACTTGTTTGAGCTCGCGCACTTGCTGCTGCTTGTGAGCACGCTCTACTACACGTACGTGTACTACACGCAGTCGTGGTGGACGAGGGAGGCGATGGTGGCCGTGCCGCCAGACGCGCACGCCGTGCACATCCGCATGCTGCAACTGCTCGACACGTTTCTCCAGCTGAGCGACTTTGCCGCGCTGTCGTCGGCGTTTTCGCTGCTCAAGATCTTCAAGTTTCTGCGCATGAACTCGACGTTGAATTTGCTGTGGCAAGTGCTCGGCATGGCCCTAAAAGACCTCATGGGGTACATGGTGATCTTCCTGCTCATCTTCTTGTCGTACTCGACCATGGGCAGCTTTGCGTTTGGGTTCGACCTCGAAGAGTTCTCGTCCGTGTCGACGTCCTTCGCCACGTGCTTTCACATGCTCGCCGGCGACTTGTCGTACGACCGGCTCCAGCAGGCCAACCCGCGCCTCGCGCCCGTGTTCTTTGTCACGTTTGTCGTGCTGGTGCTGCAGGTGATGGTCAACATGTTCGTCGCGATTCTGTCCGAGTTTTATGAGAGCGCCAAGGACGTTGGCAACGACGAGGACGACGTCGAGTACGACATCATCACGCGGCTGCGCGAGTTTCTCGGCGCGTGTGCGCCCACCGTGGACCTGACCAACACGGGCACGATCCTCCTGTGCCCGCACCAGACCGTTCGGCTGATTTCCACCAACTTGGTCGACAAGGAGCTCACGCGGCACCGCGCCAAGAAGCTGTTTCGCGGCGTCGTGTGGCGCATCATTGCGCTGCTGCGCTTTGGCATGAAGTTTGACCAGAAGCTCGTGTTTGCCAAGACGAGCACGCGCAACCACGACACGAACCGGACGACGCGGTACATTCCGCTGTCGGAGAACTTTGACCACAGCACGATCAAGACGATGCTGCCCAAGGGTATCACGATCCGTCTCGAAGGCGACGCCATCTTGGGCCAGCAGACGCTGCTGCGCGTGGTCCGCCACGGCGCACTGAGCGTCGAGTGCGTCGTGCTCCCGAGCGAACACCACGAAGACGTGATGGAGCTGGTGGGGGGCGAAAAGCTCAAGCTCCCGTGGAAACTGTTTGTGTTTCACGTGGTGAAATTGATCTTCCGGGAGCTCCGGCATGGCATTCTGCGCGCGACCAAGTGGTGGGACCCGTACGAGTCCAAGATCGTAGACGACTACCATTTGTACCAACTGCTCACGGACGAACGGAGGCGCGGCAAGGCCACGCTGCGCTTTGACGAGCTGAATCGGCTGCTCGACTTGTACTTTCGAAAGGAAAAACGCGGGCGCGAGTACAGCCAAGACGAGGTCCGCCACGAAGCGGCGCTGGTCATGTACCGCTTCCGCAACTCGTTGATTGACATGCCGTCGCGAGAAAAGGAGGGCCACGACTACGTGCCCAACCCCGTCGACACGAGCGCCGTCGAGGTATGTTTTACCCGAAATTTGGTCGACTTTTGGATTCGACCAATCTATCGATTGATTCTATATACTTTCTCTGTTCCAGGTTACTATTTACTTTGAATCGAGCCCTCACTCAATTTGGACGAATGATACACGGAATTGCATGACTTTTCGCAAAAGATTGGTTTATAATCAGCGCTTAAAGCAATTGTAAGCCAATGAAATGTCATAAATGTTCGATATTGAGAGAAATTGAAGAATTACAGCCAATGAAATTCAAATGTCGCCAGGAACTTGGAACATGCGAATTTTGAAATGTCAACCTGGAACAAAGGAAGTACTGACTTTTGTCAAATTGGTCTAGTGTCACACTAATTTCAGTCTCACACTAATTCCATGTTGCATTGGTCGAATGTGAATGGATCATTTGATTGGCCACTTGATGTTCGTGTTGTGGGTTTTGATTGGTCGTATATCGATTGTCGTCTGCCTGCGATTTGGTTCTTCGGCTCATTATATTGAGCACCCAATGTCGAATATATCGACGTAATATGTGTGAATGTTGATGGCGCTGTGATGTGGTTGGTTAGTTGAGCGCGAGTTTGCTGGCGTTGGGCGACCTCTTGGCCGAAAACTGCCACGACATTTGGGCCATCGAACGCCTCGAACAAGGCTGGACATGGGGCCCGCGGCGCGACGACAAGCTCAAGCACCACCCGAATCTGATTCCGTACAAGGAAATGTCGAAAGAAGAGCAAAAGTTTGACTTTCGCACGTCCATGGAAACCATCAAGACGATCGTCGCGATGAAGTACGGCGTCGCGCGCGGCCGCCGCGGCCCCGACGGCATCCTGCGCACGCTCACGCATTCCAACAGCGCCACGTCGGACAAGGGCACGGGGGGGCACAGTCCCAAAGCCACCGCCGCCGTCGGGCGGTCGTTTTCGTTTATGGACGTCTCGCATTCGATTCCGTACGGTCGCAATGGACAGGTACAAGTCGTCTTCAGCATAAACGAGTATGGTCCTCTTATTGTGCTTTCGAGTGAAATTTCATTGTGTTGGGGCGTGGTTTCTCGTTGGAATTTAAATCGATTTGATTGGCTACTTCAAAACATTATTAGCCAATCAAAACCCATTTCTCAATGAAATTCAACAACCAATCAGATCGATTGTGGATCGGTTTGGTCGGCGCGATTCGATTGCACAGCCCCTGCCCAAATTTGTATCAAATCGACCATATCCCAAATTGAACTTTTGTGCAAAGTCGCCACATATCTATCGATCGAGTATTCACGGTATTGACATTTGTATCGGTGATGTGATCTCACTCATTAACGTCATTCGAATATCGCTCCAGTTTAGAATACGCACAACTATTATTGTCGATTTGATATACAAATTTGGGGAGGGGGGGTGCAATCGAATCGTGCAAACAATCGATCTGATTGGTTAATTTTCATTTAGAAGGTTTTGATTGGTTAATAATTTTGAGCTCATCTGAAGTAGGTAATCAAATCGATTTAAATTCCCCTACGAGAAACCACAACACAAAATTTCACTCGAAAGCACAATAGTATATGTGTATATTATATGTATATATATATATATCGACGAGACGGGTGCTTGATTAGACGTACACCCCGCAACCCGTGGACACGTCCAAAGTGGTGTTCCCTGCGAGCTTGCGACGACTCATGGACCTCCTCGCCGAAAACGCGCATGAAGTGTGGTCCAAGGGGCGCATGGACGAAGGCTGGACGTACGGCCAGGTGCGCGACGACAAGCTCAAGAAGCACGTGTGCTTGGTGCCGTACGTGTTTCTCACCGAGGCGGAAAAGGATTTTGACGTCAAGACCGCCGAAGCCACCCTCAAGATGCTGTACGCGTTGGGGTACTTGATTGTCGATTCCAACGGCCACAGTTTGGTGTAATACAATACTGTATCGCACATGTTGGAATCATCATACTATTGTACTACTAGTAGTAATACTATAAATCAATCACACTTTGGACGTTGGTTGGTGTTTAGTATCGAGTTGAACAATGTCCTGCCAAGACAAGGTCGACAGATGCGCCAACGTTTTCATGCTTTGGTACATGGGATCTCGACTGGTAATGCCATAACTGGCGAATTCCGACGCTTGAAACGCATTCACATGCTGCATGAGTCCAGGCGTCATCAAATCGATAGCACTGTCGATGGGAAACCACTGGACTGCACGTACTTCAGGCGACAGCGCTTCCTTGGCAGCCACAGCCATGTCCCAAAAGCTGCGGTCCTCCAACGCCGCCGCAAACGACCGCCGCTTGTCCTCGAGCCGACGATTCACGCGCACGTCGAGTCCGTCGTCCATGAGCCACGCGTTTTCCATCGCCAACGCGACAAAGTTGTGCATCTGGAACCGCTTCCCTTGGATGGGCAACGTGGTTCGCGTGCTCACCCAGTGCAGCTTTGACAGAGGCGGCGGGTCGAGGCCGAGAAACTCTTCGCGCAGCTCCCGCATCGCCGTGTGCTGGAGGGTCACGTCTCCACTGTCGCGACTTCCACCCGGAAACTTCCATTCCCCAGGATACCGCATAAGGACTGTTGCCTCGGGCGTCGAACGCAGCCAGTTCTTCACTTCGCTCTGACCTAGCAAGACTTCCCATGTGCCCGTCGATGCCCCCTCGCGTAGGCACACCACCGTCGCCGCTTCAACCAAGACACTCATGTTGTGCATGAACTTGGTCAAAATAGCCATCGTCCTAGCATTTATCCGGTATACTGTATCTAGACCAAACCAGCGGAAAAAGGCAAACTATACATTATCTCGGTCAGAGAATCTGCTTATTGCAACTTGGCCTTCAAGATGTCTTCCAACTTGATGATGTCAGCCACAAAGCCACGGATGCCTTCCGACAGCTTTTCGGTGGCCATGGCGTCTTCGTTCATGGCGAAGCGGTACTCCTTCTCCGTGAACGTGACCTTGGGGTGGTTGTAGTTGAGGGCGGCACCTTCGGCGTCCAAGCGCTTGGCGACGGGGCCGGTGGCGTTGGCCAACTCTTCCAAGAGGTTCGGGGAGATGGTCAAGCGGTCGCAGCCGGCCAGCTCCAGCACTTCGCCCGTGTTGCGGAAGCTCGCGCCCATGACAATCGTCTTGTACCCGTGCTTCTTGTAGTGGTTGTAGATGCGCGTCACGGACTGGACGCCCGGGTCTTCCACGGCGCTGTACGTCTTGCCCGTCTTGGCCTTGTACCAGTCCATGATGCGGCCGACAAACGGGGAGATCAGCGTCGCGTGCGCTTCGGCACAGGCCACGGCTTGGGGGAACCCAAACAACAACGTCATGTTGCATTGGATGCCTTCTTCTTGCAGCTTTTTGCACGCTTGGATGCCTTCCCACGTAGACGCAATCTTGACCAAGATGCGCTCCTTCCCAATCCCCGCGGCCTTGTACATGCCGATGATGCGGTGGGCGCGGTCGATCGTCGCGTCCGTGTCGAAACTCAAGCGCGCGTCCACTTCCGTCGACACGTAGCCAGGCACGATCTCCAAGATCTTGCGGCCAAAGTTCACGCTCAATTGGTCGATGATGTGTCCCAAGCGCTCGTCCTCGGTGACACCGGTCAACCCCTTGCCGTAGGCGACGGCTTCCGTGACCAAGTCGGCGTATTGTGGCATCTGCGCCGCCTTGAAGAGCAACGACGGGTTCGTCGTGGCGTCTTCAGGCTGGTACTTGGCGATGGACGCAAAGTCCCCCGTGTCGGCGACGACGGTCGTCAGTTGCTTGAGTTGGTCCAAATGGCTCATGGTTGTCGAATTCGAAAATGACGACCATGATGATGCTCGAGGGGGAATTCCTCCACATCATCAATAATCGTCTCTGTTAAGTACGATTTACACCTATTGGCGCAAACGTCGCACAGGCATAATCGTGGCATGTGGTTGAGATTCCATGAACAGTCCGTTGCATCGTTGGTTGAAAGGCCGTTGCGTGTGCATGTTAGAGCATTAGTCTTGAATCAAATGCCAGGGATAAGAACATCCTTGTCCATGGATTTACTGTGAGCTCATTGCAAAAGAGAAGACAGGGAATTTTGCTAACGAGTTCTTCGAAGAAATGGCAAAAACGAATACACGACGCGGGACTCGAACCCGCAACCCCCAGATTCGAAGTCTGATACGCTATCCATTGCGCCAGCCGTGCTTATATATATTTATTTATTTTAAAGCATTTGTTGAACGCTTCGTCACTTTACGTACAATTATATAATTTATTACAGTATTGAAGAATTTTACTGAACCAGGAAAACATACGTAAACCTGTCTAAATAGATATTGGAAGGACTAGATTATTTATTGATACATAAAGGTACTATGAAATACAGTTAAAAACAAAATTCGTATCTTTGAAATCAGATGGGGCAATACTACTGGTGGATTGTTGGGATAAAAATCCTATTTTGAACACAGAGTAGTATTATTAGTGCATACTACTAGTATGTACTAATAGCAAAAACTGTACACGACATTCTGAACTTGTACGGTGCACTTTGAATCGTCGGTAGAATTTGGCATGGTCCAAAATGCCTTAAGTACGACGGACGTATTAAATTTCAGAGGCTTCGTCGATGATTGATCATGAGAATTCCTTCCCTCTCGTGCATTTCCATCGTGACGACATGTGAGCAATGTGATGACGTTGAGGTCTTGGTCGCCATGGCAAGTACAAGTAGTACTGTACAGACCGCGGCCGTGAAGCCTCAAGCAGAAGCACCACGCCCTGGCGAGAAGTTCCGAAAATGGTTGTGTAGTGAAAAGTCCAGTACCATCACACGCCCCCCTACGCCACGTCCCAACTTGCATACTGGTAAGTCAGTTTGGTTCCGACAAGTACATATGTCTCTGTACGACGACAACCGCGACACGTTGTGGCATTGCCTCACGACCTTGTTCTCTCCGCCGCCGACGCTGTTGCAACGCAAGGCCGAGGCGTTCGTGACGTCGCGGCTGCGGCACTACAACGCCGTGCTCTTTGTCGAAACCGCCACCGAAACATTTGGGTGCGTCGTCGCTGACGTCCTCCGCCGCGCTCGACGAACGAGTCATTGCATTGTCAACCTCGACGAAGTGACCGATCCGGCGTTGCTGCGTGAGATTCGCGCGGCGCTGGCCGCGAAATCTGGTACAAAGCTGCCATCCTGTCCCACTACCTCATGGATGTCCTTCTCTGTAGGCTACTGGACGCTGCCAGTGCTGTTTCTCAACGGTCGCGTCGTCCCCCAAGTCGGCGCCATCCGCGACGCATAATGCCGTCGACCTCACCCGATATCCGTTCAACCTTTCCCATCTTGATATTCGTCGTTACTGTACTGTAGTACTTTGAATTCTAACGTAAACGATAAATTACACTCTGTCACATATTACAACTGATCCAGCCGCCGCACCGACTGCTCGCGCTTGATGGCTTTGGTTCGAAGCAGCGCGCGGCGGTCGATCGCCAGCTTTTCGGCGTCCGCTTCGATTTCCTCGCGCACTTCGCCCTGCAAGCGATGCAGCACCTCGAGAAACGTCGGCCGGCTGCGCGGGGGGTCCAGCAGGCAGTCTTGGATCAGGCGGCGGCGGCGCGGCAGACACGACGATGGGAGCGACGGGCGCAGGCCGTCCTTGGCTACGCGAAGCATGACCTTGAGTCCGGTCTGGTCGATGTCGTGGTATGGCGTTTGCCGGGTTTCCAGTTCGGTCTACATTGCACCACATATATATATATTTACAACTGAGTGAAGAGGTACAACATATATATATGTATATATATATATATATATATATATATGTAGTATATCCAAATCCTAGAATTCTAGCACCAATAATATAGATATAGGGACGACGTACGAGCACAATCCCAAACGAGTAAATGTCGGCGGAAATGCCGTACTTTTCATTGCGGATGACTTCAGGGGCGAGCCAAAAGGGGGTACCCACGACGGTCGTGAGGGCGTCGATGTCCTTTTTGTACCGCCGAGACAAGCCAAAGTCGCTCACTTTGCACCCAAATGTAGCCGAACACAGCAAGTTGACGCTCTTCAAGTCGCGATGCACCACGGGGGGTTCTAATTTCATTCAAATATATTGTGCGTTATTGACGAAATCGCCATCTAATTCAGCAAACGAGTATGATTGGCTACAACGAATGAACGTTGCAATTTCATTGGCTAATAAGATTGATTGATTCGTTTTATATGACATTTTGAAGGTCCGGCGGTTCATATGTCAACCAATCGCTGGTGTAGAACAGATCACATATATATATACGCATTTAAAAATCCAGGAAACACGTCAGTAAAAATATCACCACGTAAACATGGAAGAAGCCCAGATGCGAATAGGAGGACCTTGCGAGTGCAAGTAGAGCATGCCCGAGACCGCGCCCACGGCCATCTTGAGCAGCGGGTCGCTCCAGACGAAGGAGCGGCCGATGGCCGAGTGCAGCACGCTGTGCATGTCCCCGTGTTCCATGTACTCGAGCACCATGCACACGTTCGAGCAGTTGTCCCACGACGCGCCGATGAACTGCACGATGTTTGGGTGCCGCAGACATGACATGAGCTCGATCTCTTCACGGAAGCGCTGGATCGACGGCAACGAAATCGCATCTCGACGCATCCGTTTGCACACCACGGACGTCCCCAAGTAGCTCGCCTACAAAAAACAATGTCCACCATATTATCTATGTTAGTGGATATATATATATAGGCATTTACCAATATATAAGTGTCATATATACATATATATATATGACGAGCCAATCAACATACGGCAGAACAACGAGCAAATATCACACCACGCACGAAATGGGACGACCGAATGTTCATGGCCGGTACTATAAGAGACCAACAACTCACCACAATAAACATACCACCACGTCGACCAAACCAGTATATATATGTATATATATAAATATATACGAATTATATATATTATATATATTAATAGATATAATTCGTTCAGCAAGAGCCATGAGTAGTCCTTTTGTACCTTGATGACTTCGCCGCTGGCGCCGCGGCCGATGATTTTTTCAAATTTGAGGTCGGCAAACGGGATCTGGATCATTTCCAGGTGTTTGGACTTGAGCACTTGGCGAACGGCGTGCGTCTCGGCGTCGCACGCGGGGTCGTTCAGAAGCGCCTTCTCGGCCTTGTTGAGCGTGAACTGGAGGTCGGCATTCTCCTTCTCGACGTGGATCTTGGCGAGGAAGGAGCGGCGCGCGGACCGGTCCGAGTGGTAGCACGCCATGCAGAGGAGGAAGCCGGGCGAGGCGTAGCTCACGACGATCACGGCCTGCATGGACAGCGCGTACAGGTGGAGGACCGCCACGAGCGCGGCCGACGACGCCGCGAGTAGAAGCACCACCTGGGGGAAATCGAGGCGGATTACTACGGCCAAAGTCGACCCGATCAGGATGAGGAAGATGGCGGCGAGGGCCACGAACGCGCTAAGGAGGTTCTTGTTGATCTGGCCAAGATGCAAGTCGTCGTATGCGGTCCGGTTGCACAAAGGGGAAGGAGATGATGTGAGATCGACCAGCAGCAGCTTTCGGAACTCTGCCGTGGACGCACTGCCTTGGTAGCCGAGCCACATCTGCGCCATGGGGTGAGTCGGAGACGACGAGATGGACGTGCGTACGTACCTGCGTGCCGCATATGAACGTGAGGAGGATCAACGTGACGGCGATCTTCCAGCGCCGACGGAACGGACTGTCCTCGTCCACCCACGCCACGAATGGCACGGCCGCGAAAAAGTACGCCCACTGGACCCACTCTTCTGGGCGCTTGAAGTCCTTGGGCAGCAGGTCTTCGGCGGTCGTGGACTTCATGGACGTCACGATGAAGAATACGATGTGCAGCATCATCATGACCATCACCGTGTTGCGCGCGCGGACGTACCATTCCACTTGGCAGTACTCTTGGTACAATTGCTCGAGCGTCGGGTCGAGGAACCGGCAGCTCACGCGGTAAAACAGCGTTGCGTCCAATTCGCGCGTGTGTGCGGTCAACTCTTGCGGTGATGGAGCGGATGAGGTCGTGGTCGATTTTCCTGTTGTCGTGTGCACGTCCACAAGTGGTGTCGCGACACCACCACCACCCCGCCCACCCCGACTTGAGCTGTGCAAGAATGACGCGGTGCGATCGGCAGAGTGCACCACATCGCCGTTCTTTCGTTTCTGCATCTCGTCGTACAGCCGTTCCATGCGCACGAGGCTCATCGTATTCACATCCTCCTTCTCCTTGCGCCACGTCGAGAAGAACCCCATGATGCTGATGTGTCCGTCGGCAACTGACTCCCACTACATAATCATGGTATCCGGATATCCCCCACTGCACTATCACAATATCCGGATACACGGTAAAACTATCAGCGATGTGATTGGGCCTCCCAAAGGTCATCATGCCTTCAATCCTCTTGCAGCACAGGTAGGTAGGTCTACACAGTAGAGCTCCTTCCAGCTCCTTCCTTCGCATTGGCGACTGCCGCGAGCGGTCGGTGGCTCCACACTCTCTGTCTCCACCATCGTGCGCTGAATATTCCACTGATTGAAACGTCCTGAACGCGGAATGTTGGTCCGCGTGCAAATCACCGTCAGCCTACGGTAATCGAATCCACATGGCCGAGCCCAACTCGCCGCACTACGTCGACATGGACTTCACGCCGTCGATCGCGGATGCGCTGATCCGCGACAAACTTCCGTCGTTTAAGTGAACATTCCCGTGCCCGTCCGGTACTGCAGGTGCGATGGATGTTGATGGAAAAGATGCGTGGGACGAAGCTGGATGCGGCAATGGGAAGCAGCCAACGAAGATGAGCGAGCTTCCATCGCCGCCAAGTCGAGACAATCCATGCTGATTTGCAGAGCCACCACTTCGATCGCATTAGAGGCTGGGTGTTTGACCCTGCGGACAACTCGACGCCAGTGATTGGGCCGTTCTTCGATGGGGGCGGGCTCTATTCAACTCGGAGCGCGAGTCGCTGCAATTTAAATTCGACAGCCAGATCCACAAGGCCGTGTTGAATCCAGCTTTAGAACCGGTGCGGGAACTCATCCCCGAAGCCACCGCGGCCGTCGCAGCCTACTTGCGGTCAATGTCGACGTGTCCGGTGGTGCTCTTCCATGGCGACTTTGCGTTTCGCAACATGCTTGTGGACAACGGAGAAGTTGTGGGCATTTTGGACTGGGAATGGTGCGGCACCATGCCACTGTGGAAGGAATGGGGCGACGTCTCGTTCGGAGACCGCCACGTGTACGAGTACGTGCCGTCGTTTAAGTACAGTACTCCAATTCAACACGTGGCAGCACTTGGTGAACATGCTGGAAGCGTTTTCCCGTGGCAAATGGGATGCTGGCTCAAAAAAGGTGCTCAGTATACAAACGAGGCTGAGCAATCGTTACGAGACTGCTGCTGTCCACGACGTCGACGGTACACCCCATCCCTGAAGAAAGGGGCAAGAAGGGCAGCTCCTCAGTGACGACAGCTCATGCATGCTCTGCAGCATGTGCGTGATTTCAGCGGATCTATCTGTCATGTCGTTGGGGCGTTCGTTGGCATTCTTTAGAGGGTGCCTGATGTGAGAAAGTGGGTTCATTGTCACATCAATCCCTAGTATGCGTTGAAATTGCATTTATTTGACATAAAAAAGTGTCGAAACGTACCCTTGCTGTATAAATGAAATGTATCTTTCTCATTAAATTTTTCCATACATATATAAAGCTTAATGATACCTACAAACTGGTGAGATTGGCCCTTGACATACGCCATTGATACGCGGAACTGGGTTGCCATGTTGCCATGTTGCCATGTTGCCATTTTCGAATATCTCCATCGCTGACATGACCCAGCGCCTCGCCCAAGCCCTCCGCAACGTCTCGTTCAACCAGACGATGCTCCGTGTCAAGGACCCCAAGAAGAGTGTGGCGTTTTACGAGCGCCACTTCCAGCTGACGTTGGCGCACCAGTCGCACTTCCCCGACTTTAGTCTGTACTTCCTGGTGTCACTGCCAACGTCGACCCTGCCCGACAACCTCAAGAACGCAAAGTACATCAACGACGGCGAGTACGGCGTCTTGTTGGAGCTCACGCACAACCATGGCACGGAGTCTAACCCGTCGTTCCGGTACCATCCTGGCAACACGGCGCCTCTTGGGTTTGGTCAACTCGGGTTTGCGGTGCCCGCCGGCGCGTTGCCCGCAACCAAGTCGTCGTTGGAAGCGCAGGGGCATGATGTGGACGCGTTCGACACGACTTTGCTCACCCACGACCCCGATGGCTACGAAATCCAAGTGACCGAACGCTCCAGCAGCAACCGCGTCGACGCGGTGTCATTTCACCACACGACGCTGCGTGTGAAGGACGCCAAGGCGAGTTTGGAATTTTACCAGACGATCGCCGGGTTCTCGCTCCTCAACACCCAGCGGAACGAGAAGGAAAAGTACACGTCATACTTCTTGGGCACGACCACCACGGACGCGTTGTCAGACGAGGACCTGCGTAATCAACTGGGGACGGTGCTGGAGCTGCGTCATTTCGACGGCACTGAGTTGTTGGGCGACGATTTCAAGTACAGCCACGGCAACGCGGATCCCCATCGGGGCTTTGGGCACGTGGCCATCATGGTCGAGGACGTGTACGAGTCGAGCGCAGTGTGGGAAGAGCTAGGCATCAAGTTCCAAAAGAAACCCGACGCCGGACGCATCAAGGGCCTGGCGTTCATCTTGGACCCTGATGGGTAAGTGTATCGTGATGTACGAGGAGATGATTTATCGATGAATGCATCTGTAGGTACTGGGTCGAAGTTCTTGGCCGAGGTGCTCACGTGGAAGGGATGTAAAAAGTCTGGCTCGTCATGAGTGTGTGTCGACTGAAAATACAGTAATATACAGTACCGTGGTAATTTGACCAACAACAATGCAATGGAACGCCATCAAAAATGCTAAAACTGGAATTAAGAGTGTACGTATTGGACGTCTACCGGTAGAGTGTGGGGAGGGATGCATGGGGCACAACGTGATGACGAGTCTTCTTCAGTCACATGTATCTCAATCTTCTGGAATCAAGTGCATATTACTACGTACTACGGTACTATAATATTAAAATTTGAAGTACTACGTAGTAGTATTTACTTACTCTAGTACTACTACATATCAATAGTAGAGTATGTATTGTTTGTGACGGATCGTGGAAAATTGAGAAATCAAGTGGAAGTTTTCGAGTGAATTCATGGTTCTGATGACACATACAAGACGGTTGACACATGTGAAACTATGCGAGTGAAGGTGGGTGGCGACAACAAATCCGTCGTAACCACCCAAGCAAGTCAGTCCTCAATAATCAATCTCGTATGAGTTCCGTCGGTTCGTTCATTCGGCCAAAGTCGTAGAAAGAGCTCAAAAGGCGCCTGACTCGAGTCCAGTGAACATGCAGACAGTTTTAGACTAGTGGCCGAGGTAACTACACTGTAGTAGTGGGTAGGTAGGTGCATATCGATCAAAGTGTACCGCCGCTGGATGTGGCCATCGATGACAACTCCACAGTGTTAACGTTACAGTACTGAATTTTCCAGGTTGCACGAAGCCGACTTGCGCGTCATGGGAGTTGCCTTCGCAGCACATTGTTACACATGGGAGAAGTAACATGTTATAACAATTGTTATAACCCAACCGCGACCACGATTAAACGTACGGGAAATCATAACACAATGTTATAAATACCATATGGCAAGCATTTCCAGTGACGATCAGACGACATCACTACAAAACCCACCACCAACACTACCCACCAGTCCATCTATGTACATGGAGCAGCGCTTAGTTCCTGGCATGCCGATGGCAGCATTGACAGGACACGAAGGTCTAGAGCACCACAAGGCCTGGATCATGCTTCCAACTCCATGGCCTTAAGGCAGTGTACCGTAGATATAGCTTCAGCGACCCTGCGGCATCCAAGGTGGTCTACTCCGTCGTCAACCGATCGTACCACATGTTCGTAATGAGAAACGAGTGCGAGGACCACTATGTACTTCCTCGACATCCTTCCTCGACATCCCTACACACAACACTCAGTTTCTTGGCCACCACGAGTGGCTGGTTGGTCATTTTAGAAATTCCCACCACAGCCCAATATGGCCGACAAGTGCTTTTTCAACGGATGCGCCAATGAATGCGCCATGGGGACGTGGAAGTGCGAGTTCCACAAGAACCGCGTGCGCTGCCGCGGCGACGACTGCAGGAACCAAGTGTACGCGAGGTACCTGTGTGTCCGACATGGAGGCAAGAAGAAGTGCCAGTACCCCAACTGCACAGGCAACGCCCGCGTTGGCACGTACTGCTGCCGTCACGGCGCTACGAGCAAGAAGAAGCATTGCATGATGGACGGGTGCACAAAAGTCGCTCATGCGCGGCGACTCTGCGTGGGACACGGCGGCGGTCGGCTGTGCAAGGTCGAAGGATGCACAGCACATGCTCGCCATGCCGGGTGCTGTCGAAAGCACGGTCGAGACATTGCACTGGACACATCGCCTGTGGGGGTTCCGATGGTCAAAGAAGAGATCCTGCCGCTTCCATTGCTTAGTCTATACGACGACGACACGACACCATTGAAGAGCCTCATGGATCAACCATTTAATTACACGATGGGACTGGGTGACTTCTCCCCCATCGACGTCCTGGACTTCGACATTGCGCACGCGGATTTGGACGGATTGTTCGACAGCGCCGTGTTTGATTGCCAGTGGTATTTGTAGAAAAGAATGCGGTGTAGTATAGAAAGATTGAGATAATATTATTAAAATATGTAGATTATAAAACAGGAAGGATGGAAGGTTCCTTGGAGGAGGATGCAAGAACCAAGTGAGGCAACGTGGGATGACGAAGGTGGACGGCATCGCATATGCACAGTCCTGCTTTGAGGAGACAGTCGACGGACTCCCGTAAACTGGGCGTCCATAAACTGGGCATTCGGGGATGGCTGTACCAGCGGCATTTGCATTCATGCGGGGCGTCGCATACCTCACGGCAACGTTCGTTGCCGTTGCATCGTTGTCGTCTGTAAAGCGTGCTACCATCGAGCCAAACAAATTTATACAGATGAATCACACAGCGGATGAAGCCTCATCAACGCATCCCCCGACGACCATCACCGTCCCTGTTCAAGGTGACGATGATCAACCATTTGACCAAGACAAGTACCTCGAAGATCTCGGGTTTCCATCCGAGGAAGAGCTGGACATGCTCTTTCATGACGCCATGACCGCGGAAGAGGAGGCCAATGTTGAAACGCCCCCACCAGTGCTTATCGTCCAAGCTGTGGGAAACACCAGTGCGATAACTTCCATCTCGCTCGTTGCAATCACAATAGTCGGGTTGCTGTGGATCAGTTGACCGCTTAATCATCAACAACGATGCCGTTTACTCAATCATATACATATGCACATCGCTTGGCTTTCTCCCTACCTGTAAGCTAATTCAACGGTTCCATCGGTGCCGCGGAAGCGTCTAACGCACGATGGACATCCAAGGAGTCAATCCATCATAGCATACGCTCTCGGGAATGATCCCCTGCATCCTATGTCCACGGTGTCCTCCTCCGACGTCGGCGACGATGGCGTCGAGATTTTGGCGCGCGATCTTGAAAGTGCGAAATTGCAAAATGTAGCCCTGTGATTGGCTGAAACTTTATCAGGTCTGAGGGTTAGTATCCGCCCGCGCACCGCCATTATAAATTTGGCTCCCACGTCAAAGCGCAGCCGGGACATCGAGAGTCGCCGCCGCTTCCTGCCGCTTTCCAATCTAGACGCATCTTCGTTTGTACAAGGCAAATGGCATCGGAGACCTCAGTACGTGTGTGTGTCCGTGTCCGTCCGTTGATCCCGAAGGAACGACTGGAAGATGAACACCTTGCAGTCGAGACGTTCGACAGTCAAATCAAGGTCGCGAGTCAAACGTTCACGTTTGACCATGTATTTGGTCTCGACTCTGGCCAAGAAGACATCTGGCCCTGTGTGACACCGTTGGTGGACTCGGTGTTTGAGGGGTACAACGCGACCATCTTTGCGTACGGCCAGACAGGCAGTGGCAAAACGTTCACAATGGGGAGCGGGAACAGTGCGTTTGTGAGCAATCCGGACGAGCGGGGCATCATTCCTCGCGTGCTCCAGGAGATGTTTGCTCGCATTGCTGCCAAGACGGCCGACGGTCGAGGGTACCGAACGGAGCTCAAGTTGCGTTTTCTCGAGATCTACGGCGAAGAAATCCGTGATTTGTTGTCTCAGTTTGGCAACGGGACGTTGGACACGTCGTCCAAGGTTAACTTGAAGGAGATTCAGAACGGGCAAGTCCAGGTCCAAGGCGCGCGGGAGGAGGACGTGCATTCTGCCGACGAGTGCATTCGTTTGCTGGACAAGGGAACGTACTGTCGGACGACGGGGGCGACGGAAATGAACAGCGAGTCGAGTCGATCGCATGCGATCTTGACGTTGACCATGGTGCAGTACATCCCGTACGACACGCTCGTGGCGAAGGACGGCGACGAGAACGCGGCGCCCGAGTACGACGTGCGCTGCTGCTATTTTAACTTTGTCGATTTGGCCGGGTCGGAAAAGCAGAAAATGACCAAGGCGGAAGGGCAGCGACTGAAGGAGGGCATTGACATCAACAAGGGGCTATTCGTGCTCGGGTGTGTCATCAACGCCCTCGGCGACGACACGAAGCGCGGCCGCGTGCATGTCCCCTATCGAGACTCCAAGTTGACGCGCATGCTGCAAGATTCCCTCGGTACAACATTATTGTCTCTCAAACTTTGGACTTTTGTGCGGATATTCGTCAAATCCATCGAGTGTTTGTATTGTCGTTTTACCCATAATTTGGACTTTTTGAGATAATTCGCCAAATCTATCGATCGATTTGTGAAATCGTCACACTAAGTTCAGTCATCACACTAATTCGATGTTGAATTGGCCGAAGAAAGTATTTGATTGGCGATTTGCGTTCTGGGTTTTGATTGGTCGATCGATTGTCTGTCGATTCGGTGCTTGCTGCTCATTCAATAGAGCCGTAATCGACTTGACAATACTGAATGTTGTATGGAAAGGGTAATCATCACACTAATTAAAGGCATACACTACATGGTTGATTTCCATCAATCGGATAGGCTCGAGATGCTTCAGTTGTTCATGTGGTTGTGTGTCGATTCGATTTCGATACATTCTCCAAGTCGTTTCCGTTTATACACGTAACAGTCAGTATTGTCGACTATAATGCATTGTAGGGGGCAACAGCCGGACGCTGATGGTGTGCTGCGTGAGTCCGGCGGGAAAGAACGTGGCTGAAACCAAAAGCTCGTTGAGTTATGCGAATCGCGCGCGCAACATTCAAAACAAAGCCGTGGTGAATCGCGACGAGCAGTCGAGCATCGTGGCCGAGCTGCGGCAGCAGATCCAGTCGCTCGAAGGCGAATTGTTTGCGTTTCGCCACCCCGGCGCCGACATGTCCGACCCGCAGGTCCAAGCGGCGGTCGCGACGTCCGACTGGCGCCTCGACAGCTTCAGCTCCCTGCGCCGTCGCACGGAAGGCGCCGAGTCTGAAGTCATGCGGCTAACGGGTGAATTGAAGCGATGGCGCACCGAAATGGACGCGATGAAGGAGGAATTGCTGGCGACGCAGGCCCAACGAGACTACTTTCGCCTGTGCGGCGAAGAGCTCAAGCAGCAGCATGGTGGTGGCGTCGCCGGATCGGCGGAAATGGGCGTGATCCAAGAGCATCTTCGCACGATCCAGGACCTCCAGGACCGGCTGCGGCAGGCCGAGACGGACCGCGACAAGGCGCACGCGCACAGCGCGTCGTCGGGAACGTTGGACTTTGCCTCGTTCGGACTCTTTTCCGCCGACGCTGTGCAGGACGAGCAGCGCTTGATCGAAAAAGCCGAGCAAGAAATCAAACGCGAAAACGAGTTGCTCAAGCAGTTGCAGAGCAACGCCGTCGCGATGCCCCCGCCCGCACCTGCCTCAACCAGTCGCACCACAGGCACCGTGCCGTCAATGGCATTGTCGTCGGCAGGACCATCCGCCGCCGACGACGACGAACCCGTGGGAGACGACATGGACGATACCGTTGACCCACCAGATGAAGACGACACGCTCGAGGCATCGGCAGAAGCGAGCTCGGAAATGGCCGAACTGCAGCGAGAGTTCCAGCAACGCCAGCAAGTGCTCGGGGCCACCGTGCAGGACTTGTCCAACAACATCTCGTTGAAAGAGCAAATGCTCCAGACGTTGCGGAGAAACGCCGAGGGGTATGAGCGCATGCGCGGGGTGTTTGAGGCGCGCGTGATTGAAATGGCCGACAAGGAGCGCAGTTACATGGCGGAGCGGGATCAACTCACGGCCGAGCTCGACAAGATGCAGCACCAGACGAGCGACCCGCGGTACCAGCGGCTGTCGTCCGAGCTGCAGAACAAGGACGGCGAGCTCGGCGCGCTGCGCAAAAAGCAGGCCGAGATGAAGCGCTTCGAGACGATCAAGCAAAAGAGCGATGTCCAGCTGCGCGTCCTCACAAACGAAATCACGGCAATGAAGAAGCAAAAGGTCGACTTGCTGAAAAAGATGCAGGGCGACCGGAAAAAGTACGAACTCGAGGCGAGCGAACGCAAGCGCGAGATCCTCACGTTGAAGCGCGCGCACCTCAAGGACAAGCAGCAGATTCTCAAGCTGGGGAGTGAAAAGAACGCCCAGGAGCGCGTGCTCAAGCGGCGCGTGGAGGAAGTCGCGGCGGCCAACCGGCGGCTCAAGCAGCAGCAGCTGTTGCTGTCAGCGAACGCCAAGAAGAAGCCGTTGAAACGGTTCAAGTCCAAGGACGAGGAATGGCTCGCGGATCAAATCCAAAAGCTGTCGGACAAGCAAAAAAAGTCCGAGCTGCTGGAAAAGGAGCTCGACAAGCGGGAGAAGATTGTGCAGCAGATGGAGCGGCTGCACGGCATGCGCTCAAAGTTGCAAAGCGAGTTGAAGGCATCCATGGACGAGCGCAACGGGTCCAACATCCGCGACATTTTGATCTCCCCGTTCAAGCAACACCTTGAAGCAAGTACCAGCCAGCAGACAGCAACAACAGCAGCCCTGAGCAAGGACGAAGAAGCCATGCTGGCCGAGCTCGAAGATCGCATCGAAGCGTGCCAGACGCAGCTCGAGTACAAGAACGAGCGCATTTCCGAAATGACGACAGGTCAAGGTGATAACGACCAAGGCGACCCGATGGTCAAAGTCGAAAACTCGTCGCTGCCCGAAGCCCGCACGCTGCTCAAGTTGCTGTTCAAGATGGCGGTGGAGGTGAAGAGCCAGGAACAGTCCAAGGAAGCCGAGCTGGAGCGGGCGGCGCTGCGGGTGGACGACCTGCAAAAGCATCTGCGCATGGAGCGCGAACGCAACAGCGTCATGCGCCAGACGTACGAGGAGAAGCTGCAGAAGATGATTGCCGACGCCATGACCGAGCCGGACGACGGCCTGAAGCTGGTTCGTAGCGCCGTGGAAGAACGCAATGCGATACTGCGCAAACGATGCGAAGAGCTCGAACTGCACCAATTGGACTGGCAGAGGCAGACCCAACAACTCGTGCAACGCAACGCCAAGTACCAGCAGAGCATGGGAACGTGCCGCGAACGCATCAAGTGGCTCGAGACGCAACTGAACGCGACCAAGCGCGGCGACGCGGGCAACGACGAAGCCGACGACGAAGACCATCCCGTGATGGACGACGGAGACGACGAGTTGTTTGGGGACACGATGAGCGTCGGCAGCGCCAGTTCCGACTCGACGGTCCTCACGACCACCCACGGCCCAAGCAGCACCAATGGAGGCGCGGACGGAAGTACGTCGTCAATCTTCAACCGCCTGGCCAACCCAAACAACTTTACGGGCATCCACCGCCACCGCCTTCAAGAAAACGCCATGATCAAGCGCGAAGAAATCAAGTCCAAAGGCCAACAGCTCCGCTCGAGACGGTACCGCTATCTCTCTCTCATATTGTTGCATTGTCTTCGCCAAAATGTGGATTTGCGAACTCCGTCGCTCGATTGTTTGGACTGAAACTTACTTTGTATGGAAGCATATCGTCCCTTCTTTGATGGATACTATTTGATTGGCCAGTTGATGGGTTTTCTGGGGGTTTTGATTGGTCAAGAAAGATTTCGAATGGGAAGATTTGTCTAATACATGTATGGTGTAGATTAAAAGACCGCAACGTCCAAGCCGCGCCGTTGTCGTCGTCGAAATTGCGCCAACCGAACGCGAGCTTTCAGTCCCCTCGCGCCCGCACGCCACGGCCCCGCACCGCGTCCGAGGACTTTGGCACTTACCCTCGTAGCTCTGCCGTGTTGGATGTGCTGGCTACGATGAAGCGGGTACATCTATGACGCGTATTTGTAAAAGTGTACGTGGGTCATCCATATGTATAGGGCAATGAAGGGGATGGTGGTCTGGACGAGTTGGAGTTGGATGAAGGCGACCACTCGGACACAATGTCCGAAGGCGGGTACGGCATGGACTCGTCGCCGCGCGGGGGGTTCCGGGGCAAGAAGGAGGTCGACACCATGTCGGAGGGGTCGCCGCGGGCGTCGTCGGGGGGTCGTAAGAAGGATGTGTTTTCGAGGCTGAATGGCCAGTACACGGCGTCGGCGCAGTCGAAACGTCAAGTACACACCGGCTTGCTGTAATACGGTTATAGCTTGTGTTGACATTGGATTTGTGTATGCCTCGGGTAGTCGTACTTGGGGGGAAGCGACAAACGACCAAATCGGGACAAGCATGACGACAGCCCCGTGCCGGACGAGGGCTCGCGCATGATGCCATCGGCCGCAGCGGGGACGAAGGTGGACCCTCTCACGGGTCAGGAGCGCTTTGTGGTGCAAGTCATGAACGACCTCAGCATCAAGACAACCAACATAGACTCGAGATAGGAATACTATGGACATGTATGTAGTAGTCAAGGCAGCTAGCTCGGTATGGCGTCGTGACGTCGGCATTGCAAACTTGGCTTGGAACATGCACATTTGCAGTGGTCGAGAGCATCCACGACCCTTTTTGTGCTTGTATTTGAGATTCTTAGAAAAAAATATATGAAATTCAGTAGGCATTCGTAGTTGTTTTCCTCACAGTCAGTGAATTCGATTCTGCCACTACTAGTATTGTAACCTTGATTTGCAACGGTTACACAATTATTTAAAATGGTCAAATCCGATACAGAACTTAAGTGTAACAGAATGCTTCATTAAAATATATATATCAATATTTTTAATAAAATAGAAAGGTCTCGACCACGTTACTGGTACTGTACTATTAATAGTAGGAGGGAATTCATTATTGTATGAACGGTGGCAATCGTGGTTCCATGGCAAGATAGGCACGTGGCACTTCACCGAACGCGTCCTCGGATAGCGTGGTAGTCGCAATCGAACAGCAGGGGCTCTTGAAAGGAAGACAGTCAATGTCACGCGTGCTGTCTATAAGAAGATGTTGATCGACCAAGTGATTCCTGCTATCAAAGCAATGTGGCCTGGTATTGTGACCAGGGATGAACAGAAATATACTCGATGTGAATTATTATTTTATTTTTGAGAAAAATATATTTATTCTCCTTTATACCAAATCGAATTATCTATTCACAAAACCTAAATAATTCCCGATCAGGTGTGATTTGAAATGTCATTGCTTTCGTGGTGAACAATTGGTAGATACGAACCATATTCAGATGTTAAACTACCAATAGGAATTCACTAATTGAATTTGTCAACTTAAAAAAGTTGAAATTCAATGAATTCCAGGAACCAGGATTTGAAGGAACGCGTAGGCATGGCATCATATCTCAATTTGATGCCAACCCCACGCATTCCTCGCTCCGACGCCAACCGCCTCAAGGGCAAGCAGCTGGCCCTTGCCTTCTTCACTCAGAAGGCCCCTGGCAGTTCTACGTGGGTGTGTCGCTGTGGTAAAGAACGCATCCAAAATGGTTCCGGGTACACCAACATGTGCTCCCATATAACGCAATGCCACCCCGAGCACCTTGAACTCTATGCTGGTGGAGAGCACAACGAGCTCATTCTGCGCTACGCTACGATCCCAAAAAAGTCGAAAACGATTTTTGATTGGCTGAAATGGGTCACCGAATTGCTCCTGCCGTTCAGCTTTGTTGCCAATCAAATCGTTCGCCGTTACACGAATTTGGACCCAATATCTCGCACGACTTTTATGAAATATTTGGGACTGTGCACCTCGGTGGTTGAACAAAATATTCGGGAGAAGTTGCCCGACGCATTTGCCCTGGTGTTTGATGGCTGGTCCCATGGCTCTACGCACTACGTTGCCGTCTTTGCCACGTTTCCATCGGACCACAAACTGGGTTACTCCAAGATCCTGTTATCTTTTGCTCCAATGAACGACGAGACAAAACTTACGGCAGACGAGCATATTGCTTACGTTGAGTTTATTTTGACCACGTTCGGAAAAGACTGGTCCAATGTCATCGCTCTGATTGGTGCTCTCATGCTAACTGCTCGTGAAGATCGTCAAGCGGATGAGTTGCTGAATTCGTTAACTGACTTGGACTCGGTTACACTACTGCTGCAACGGGAAAACCTCTATCTCGACGAAGTGCGAAGTGTGTTTGATGTTGTATTGGACGAACATCCTGCAATGGCCAATCGAATTGTCCCAAATGCAAGAACTGTGCAAGATCTGGATTTTGAAAATTGCATTGTCAAAATTTTGGAAGGTCGTGAATTCGACCTTACGCCACAAGAACGTGCAAGTGCTGTGAGTTTGCTCAAGAGGTCCGCCACCA